CATCTTATTGATGAAAGCAACACTTTCATATTCAATGAGCAAGTTTGCATATATCCAACAGATGGATGCTAACACCTAAGCAACGATAGACAATACTAAAATGACAACAGGCCCAGAATAAAACCATTTAGGCTCTTGCAGATATAGGAATTGCAACAGAACCCAATCAATAAAACGTTGGATTAAAAAACTTGAGTATCTTCCATAAAAAGATAGATAACATGGATATCAAGAGATAATATGTTGATAACTCTACTATGTACTCATGAATTATTTTTTTTTTATGAAATAAGGTTTATCAAGGAAGAGAAGAAACGAAAAAATTACAAGAGTGAAGAGTGAGATATCCTCTGCAAACAGTAAGAACAAAGAAAACAAGTACACCAAAAAATACTCCCCTAATCCCTATGTATGATGGCATCCCAATTACGATAGAGCTCTAAGATGCTTATATCCAGAAAGTACCAATGAGTTTTTGTCGAAAAGGAAGCCATGAAGGTGACACTCTCACTGGGATAATGGAAAATCCGATATTCTTAGCCAGCCAAATACACCAAAGACCAGCAAAAATAGTACCATGCCATAGTGCTTTAGCCTACTTTCTCACCCCAACCCCCTGGATATGGGAGTTCATGAAGCTATAGACCATGGGAGGAACCACCCAGCTAAGCCCCAACTTATTCATCAGATCAGCCCACAGCTTCCAGGCCATGGTACACCGTAAAAATAAGTGGGAGTGAATCTCACTATCTCAGAAGCACAATATACATATGCCAGGATACAATACACAATAACGGCAATGACTTTGAAGAAGTCATTTGTGTCGAGTCTTTGGTTGGTACATGAAAATACCTTAATCTTCGAAGCAACTAGAGCTTTACAAAATACCTTGGCAATGTGAAATTGTGTATCATTGGGATTACTGAGGAGGTAAGTGAAGATAAAGGGTCAGTATTTTTGTTTTGAAAGAAAACATATAAATTATATATTGACAAGCACCAAGAGAGTGCAACCCGAAAACAAATTTATATATCACGCAAAATATCTACCAGCCCAGAAATCTTTAACAAAATAAAAAGGATTACCCTTAAGCAAAAAACCTAGGGTCTGGAACAATAATCTTTGAATCTATGAAAATTGGACTCATAATCTTCAAAAACTCTCCTATTTCTTTCTTTCTATATGACCCAAAATGTAGCCAAGAGAATAAAACTTGCCCTCTTATCCCTTTTGACCTCATGCCAAGCCCTAATGTTCTCTCGAATTAAGCTAGGAATCACCTTAATTGATACCCAACAGAACATGTATCAAAGTCCACAAATGGTAGGCAAGGACCCCATAGTAGGATATGATTACATGATTCTGCATCCCTCTTGCACAAGTAACAACCATTCACCAAGATTCTTCCCCTCATGATTAGCTTACCCAAGGTAAGAATACATTCTCCAGCGGCTTCCCAAGCGAAAAAAGCCACCCTTGGTGGCACCTTGATCATCCAGATCAGCTTGACGGGTAACTCCATATTGGTTTCACTCTTCTTGCTTGGATGTGTGTAAAAGGAGAGATTCATACTCATTGAGCTCTGAAAGTCAACATACTTTCCCTTACGACTTTCCAAGTAAAGAAAGTCACCCTCGAGTTGCCTTTACCTTCCTAACTGAGTTGACTGATAAATCTTCTAAGGATTCCACTCTTTATTCAGATGCAACAAAATAACATGCCAATTTTCCTTTTGTTTCTTTGTTTCATCTTTCTTTCTTTTCCCTTTTTTTGTCCTAGATAACATGTCACTCTTCTTGCCTAGATGTGTGTAAAAGGAACTCACTGCGAACAAACCTTTCAAGTTAAGCTTCCATATAGGTTGGTCTTTATCATCATTAAGAATGTATCTGGAAGAGATCCTAAGAGAGATTCATACTCATTGAGCTCCCAAAGTCAACATACTTTCTCTTACCGCTTCCCAAGCCAAAAATGCCACCCTAGAGTTGCCTTTACCTTCCTGATTAAGTTGATCAGGAAATCTTCCTAGGACTCTAACTTCTATTCAGATGCAATAAAATGACATGTGCCAGTTTTCCTTTTGTTTCATTGTTTCATCTTTCTTTTTCTTTTCTTTCCCTTTCTTTTCTTTCCCTTTCTTTTGTCCTTATTCGATTTTTTTTCTAATTATTCAGTGTTCCTTGTTTCATTGATTCATTGTTCTTTTTTTCCTTTTATTTTTTTTGGATTTTGCAAATGTTGACCCTTACATTTTTTTTTTGAGGTAAAACTGTAAAAATTTGTTAAAGAATCAATTGTACGAAGGGAGTACCGCCCATGTACATAATATTTACAAATTTGTCAAAGTATCAACTACATACCAAAAACCCTCTATCCTATTAATATCATGTCAGGAAAAAGGATCCAAAATAATGAAGCCACCAATCCTTTAATTTATAAATCTC